TTTGAATTTTTTATATCAATTAATTTAGATTTTCTCAAAAATTTTTTTTGTGTTTTTTGTTTGTTTTATAAATTTTTAATTTATTTAAAATAAAATCTTAAAAGTTAAAGAATTTAAAATCGTATAGTGTATAATAATAACAACTACACATAATACAATACTGTAGTTACTTATTCTAGTTATGTTTTAACATTACTTATCAAATTATGGATATTATCCATTTCCTTTAAAGATATTCTATTCTTCCTGTCAGAAAATAATTAAATTCTAAGTAATGAGTTAAGGAAATAACATAAAATCAAATTATAATTGTGCCTAAACATAAATGCTACTGTTGTATGAAAATTCATTAAAAGACTCAAATATTTAAAATGTTTATCTTTGATGTAAAGTTGAACAGATTAAATTTTCAAGATACAAAATGCAATTTGCAAATAGTGTATCTTAATTAAACTTTCAGTAATTCTAATAAGAATATTGAATATTTTAGCATTTAAATCATTTTATAAATCTCATCTTTTTAAATATTTAACATTTTCTTATTAAAAATGAATCAATCTTCATTATGATATTAATGCATTAATGTCTACTTAATTTTTTTCTGCTACAAATATAAATATTATAATTCTTGAAAATATAATCTAAAATATTCTAATTATAACAACTCTTCCAAAGAAAACTGACAAAACACTTCTTGATATTTTAGCTAAGAATTGTTTAGTATTAAACAATATTTAATTTCTTCAATATTTATTTGAAAAATGAACAGATTACATTTTAAAGCTCTTCATTAAAAGTTTAGATATAATTACACTATCAGTTAGTCTACTGTCATCATCAGCATTATCAGAAAGGTAGTAATTCAATATATATTATAAATTAGCATTCTCCTTCTAAATTTTAATGTCTTACTAATTACTCAAATGAATTAAAACAATTTTAATTATTTTAAATATTTATAAAGAAATAAAGTAATTAATAAAATGCTATATTTTAAATTTAAAATATTTAATTTTTCTATAATTTAAAGTTAAATATTATCATCTGAAAAACGAAATTTTAACAAAAGAAGAAACATTAACTGGTTCTTTTATGTACGTTATTCTTTATACCACAACAATAGAAAAAAACTGTAAAGAAAAGCTATCTGGACATATAATAAAAAAATAATTTAAAAACATTTATTAAGCATAAAAATTAGTTGTGTTGCCTATATGTTTCTGTACAATTAAATTAATGGAAAGCTTAATGCAAACACTCCCAATATATTCAAGATATACAGTATATATATGAATATTTAAAATATAAAAGTCATTTCTGTTTGAATTAAACCGCTATTTATAACATAACACGAATAAACGAACCATAAAATTCTTTAATAGTTGAAGGCTATATGTTACAATATTTCTGATAATGTGAAAGATAATTCTGTATAAGTTTGGCGTGAAAATGTAACATCCTGACATGGTCAACGATTAATAACTTTCCTATTTATCTTTACTTTAAAATTTAAACAATAAATCTAGAAACTTACTCTTAGAAAACAACTTTAAAACAATATAATACTATTGTAAATAAAACTAGAGAGCAACTTAAGAAAACAAAATTTATATTATTTTAAGGAAGATGTATAATAAAGACAACTAAACTTCATATGTAAATACTCTATTATGAAATTTCGAACGTACTATTTAATAATTCAAGCACACAATTATTTATTTATATCATAGACGACGATTTTATATATGCAGTTAATCTTTATACAGAATTTTAATTAATTAAATTATATAAATGGAAGAAAACTATTTATTAAAAATTAATCGAATTCCATTTATATTTGCAATAAATAAGAACAATAATTAATAAAATTCTATAATTAAAGGAAACGACAGAAAAATTTGCGCTTTGAAACAAAAGACTGAGAGCATAAACCTGTTTCAGACGACCTATAATATAACCAAAATATGTATATATTTAAATATATACTACGACCTTCATAAACCGGAAACTCCTACTGTACAATATCTAGGATTGCTCTAAATAATAAAATTCGATTTCAGTTTAAACGTCATTTTCGGACGTTAGAGGATTCCCATAAGTAGGTATATTGTTCGAGACAGTAAACAGGAAAACAAAATAATTCTTTTTCGTTATAAAATATATATCTACAAAACAGTTACAAAATTAAAATTTTAGTACAAATATACGATGCCTAGTAACATTATTTAAATGGTGGTTAAGCAGATCGAGTCTGAAGAGATCTCTACATAATGAAATCCAATTAAAATTCGCTACGGTTAATTAAATATGAAAATGTAACATATTTTCTTGTCACCTTTTTTTTCTTAATTATCAAAAATTCTAGAGTCTTAAAAGCTATCAAGCTCCTACAGTAATTCAACTTATAATAAGTCGTAAACTCGAAAGAAAAGAAAGCTTAGCTCCATTAAAAAAACACCCTTTCTAAGAAATAATAATTTTGGCCTTCGGATTTAGATTTATAGACTGATGAATGTTATCTAGTTTGTTACCTGTTCTAATTATTAAAAATAAGTTGTCCTTGTAGACTTTTCAGGCAATAAAAAAAAAAAAAAAGAAAAAGGAATCTAACCTTATCTGGCATTATCTATATAAAAATGTATCGGGAATAATATAAACTCTATCTAGCATAGTGATAACATTCTCCTATTTTTCCGCACGTCCTATCCTATAGCATAGCATGACCTCGGATTCCGATGACCTGAGCGATGATAAAAATGGTTTCGTTGAGGTAACATCTGACGATATAATCCGGTTTCCGATAACCATAACGATGTTATCGTCTCATATTTGTTCCTATATTTCTTTGTATGAATTGCCTAAAACTGTAATAAGCCGATCTTCTGTAGGCACTTTACATAACTTTATATATATAAAAAATAAATAAATAAACGTTTATCTCTAAATAGCGAACTAAAAAATTCGTGTATTAAGAGATAATGCCTCCACTATTGTTCAAGAATAAAGGAATTAAACACGATTACTGTTCTGTCTTTATCGTATTTGATCCAAACGGGATATTTTCTCTTTTCTTTTATCGATAAACAAAGAAATTGATTTCTATCCTTATGAAATCGTCATCGACTGTGATCGAAAAACAGATGGAAAAAGTACAAAAAAAAAAAAAAGATAAGAGGAAAGAGTGTTAAGGTTCAATAAACAGATGACATAAATGTAGAAATAAAAGAAAAACATAAGAGATATTTTAGACTATAGGAAATACTTATAGAAAAATTTTGGTGGGCATATCTGCACGATTGAAACTCTATACAATTGTAAATTCATCCCGTAGAAAGGGTAACATACTAGATGATTCATTTGACTGACGTCACATCGTACGAAGCGCATTATCCTAAATGACAATAGCGTGAATACTTTCCTTCAAACATCGAGTATGCCGAAATTAAATGCATTGTATACTTCCGCGTATATATATGTATAGATATATTTATTTTTTACGTAACAATTCGATATAAAAATCTTCTATTCCAGTGAATATTTAAATATAAATCGCAGAATCCAGACTTTTTAAATCGAATATCTGTATCATAATCCGTGTTATAAGCGCATTTTATCGTATGAAATTTGAAAAGCGTCCAAAAAGATAGGCCTATATATATTTAATTTTCATGAATATATTAAATATTATATAAAATATAAATTATATTAAAAATATATATTTAACGGAGCAGGTTACAAAAATTAATCATCTTCACTTATCTTTACACTTTAGCATAGAGAAATGCATATAAAAACATATTCATTCATATGGAATTTTTCATGAATTATTTTATTTAATAAAAATTAACGTCAATCAGTAAGTGACTGCCATATTATTATTTCGGTTTCGCAGATAAATTATGTATGTAATACTTTATATATTAACATGAATTTTAACTTTTATTTATTTTCTTCGTAATTATAAAACTTTTTGAATTAATTATACATAACGTTTTTCAGCGATATTTTTTTCGTTTTATTTAAATCCCCATTCTTAAAAGTACCAGGCGCGAAAAAAACAAAGTATCTAAGAAGAAAAATAAGCTTATGTGAGATATCTGTTTTAAAAAAGCACCGTTTTATTGTTGTTAGAGGAGAAAAGTATTCCAGAATTTATATCTAAACTTTTGTTGCCTGTATCTACACTTTTTTAGTATCTAACTTTCTTCCGAAATTCTTCTTTTATCTGCATTCCCGACCTCACAATACTTTCAAGCCTTTATAAATGTTTTAGTATTATAAATTACCCCAATAAAATAGATATGAAGAATCGGAGTGTAATGACCTTATTTTTATAGTGGTTAAAGGGTGAAGATGAAAATTCATTCATTTTTTCTAGAACAGGTTTGAAAATAAGCCAAGTTCAACTGACAGAGCTGTAGAGATACTTACATGAAACATGATAACGGAAATTAACGGAATGTAATAATTATATTCTAATACTGTAGTTGAAATATATAATATAAGATTCGAACTATCAGTTTACAATCACCTGATGTCATTATATAGTATTAAGAGATAATTGTAATTATCTATGGATAATCGCATCATTATCATATGATCAATATTCTCTATCGGAATCAATGAGATTAATATCAATGGTATAAATTTTTTATGTAGTTTTTAACGAAAATCAACGACTTTTTTATAAAAGGCACTCGTTAATTTAATTAAATATTTGACGTAACATCAAAGATTCTATCCGATTTTCGTTCATTATCGCCACATCGAAATGTAAACAAAACTGTTGTCAGGCTTTTTAAAGAGGAGAATGGCAAAGAAAAGAATGCATCGATCCATTTTTTCTTGATGTAAACATTGCTCTCTTCAATTTATACTTAATGGTAGATAATAAGAATAAATAAAGGAAGACGGAATGAAAATTAAAAGGGTTCAACGTTGTTTAAGCAGAAATTAAAGATTAAAAGTTGCGAGAAAGATTACTTAAACATTAAACTCACCTGGTCGGGTGTAGGATGACGATGCGAACATAGATGGGGATGATGAAGAGAATGTGTCGTATATAAAGCTGTTATAATAAAGAAATAAATCCCCCGCATCCACTTGCCGTAACTGCCTGCCGCCATCTTCACAGATGTGAAAAGAGCGCACCCTACTGGAAGGACGCCACATTCACAACTGAACTAGTATAACAAACCAGAGCGACGCGATCACATTTTGATTCCACATAGCGATGCTGTCGGCAACTAAAAAACATTATATATTTTTCTACTTTTTTTTTAATTTTAAATATACTCGACCACGTCTATAACGTTTCGTGCTAGATAATAAACAGTGCCGTATTTATATATTTTGACCGATTTAAAAAAAGTTATATTTATTTATAGTATTTTTTTTGACGGGATAATTGTAATTTGGTTGAGTAGTCATGGTTGTCGGGAGAAGCATGGATGGTTGAACTTAAGATCGAAGCAAATAATAAATTTTTTGGCATAAAATATCTTGGTTCTGAAGATGCTGTTATGTTTTTAACGATACGCCGCTTAACGCCATTTAATTTTCTCGTTAACTTTTTTCTCTCGCCGTTGTTATTGTTCCATATTTTTCATTCTCTAAACCACAAGCGAAAATTTTAAACGTAGATAGTGTTTATATTAATTCTGTCGTGTAACCGATTGTAATTGATGGGTCAAACAATTAAAAGAAGCGCGTTTAACACAAAAACTATTTTCACTTCTATCTAGAAATACATTTTGCTAAAAATAAATGAAAATATTGTTTTTCTTCGTGTGTTCTTTCCACTACACTAGATAATGTTCGTGTGTATATATAGATATATATATATATATCAATAACATTATATAAAAATAACTTTCACTGGTAAGGAGCTATTGTTCAAATGATTATTACTGTCATTACTATAAACTTCGGGTGGAGAATAGCTTTCACGACAGAAATACGACATGTTACAATCGAAAAAAGTATCTCAATGGGTCAAAATCTGTGGATAAATACTAAATAGAATGGCAATGTCCTAGTTATAAAATTAATAGTATACCTGGAAGTCATTATTGCTCTGTTTGCATCATTTCCGATGCATAAATTCCATACATAACTTTATAACATGGATAGAATTCTGATCACATTTATTAATAAAATCACGTAATATCTAGTTATAATATTCGTAATACAAATTCTGTATATGTAGAAGTGAAAATTAAGTTTATAGACAATTTTTCTAACTTTAAAAGCGAAAATGATCCTGATGTGTTTTATGACAAAAATTTGTGAACTAGTTCTTCTTTGTGTGAAGTAAATGTTTAGAAAAATGTTTTAGGACTAATGTGAAGAATTAGAGCGAAAAATTTCGTAGGAAATAAAATGTGAGGATTTAGTTTTTTATGATATATTAAGATAAGCGTTTTTAGTTTCTCTAGTGCATTTTCCTTATGATATACATCTACAGATCTAGGGAAAAAACGCTCTCTCCTTCAAAATTTTCTAAATGTTTTACATTTACAATTGTACCAAATATATATAAATATATTTGTATTATTTCTCTTCAGAACTTTGACACGATAACGTTTCATACTAATATTTTGCGCGAATAATTATATTACTTTTCTTTATAAAAACTAGAATACGATATCGTATATATCAAAATTGAATACATTTCTTTCAATATTACACATTCAAAGTGTTATAATAAAATAATTGACAAGTCAACATTGAATTTATTTTCGCAATTCTAAACGTATGTATAGGCTATAGCCTATATATGCCTTTTATTGTTAAATTAATTAATATACCATATATGACATTAATTTATAAAAACTGATTTTCAATATAATAATAATGATGATTATTTTTAAAAAATTCAGTTTTAATAATTTTATGTTTGTAGGAACAGAAAAGAAAATGTGATATTTTCCGGTGAGAAAAATTCACTAATTATCTGAAACATTAGATATTTTATAGTTTAGTTTTATCATTTTTCCAGTTTTGATCAGAAAACCCGTTTTTTAGTTAATTAAAAATCATCACTTGTTGAGAATAAAATTTTGTTCTTAACCGATAATATATCTTAACGTTCATTTCACAAATTAAATAAGGAAAAACTAATTTGAATTTGATTATTATTTAAGTTAAAAAATTTGAGCCTTGAGACGTAAAAGCAAAAACTGAAAAATATACAAAGAGCTAAAGTCGTTACTGTAAAAATTAACATTTTTTTTTTAACCTTACAATCTGTTCATGGGTTAAATATCCAAATATACTTTAGACAATAAGAATGCCTTGTTTATTTTCTATGCTATATTTGCTAATTGAAAACGTGATTGATTTTGTGTAAGGTATTATTCTATCATTACGAGTCGTAAATTTTCGACTATAAATAAAAATTTCAAACTAATCTTTAATTAAATAGTTACTTGATATACAGGCCAACGAATTTTGTGAGAATATGTATTCATTGAATACAAATTTTTAATTCAGTAAATCTTTTTAACAGTATATTCTATGATTTTTAAAATTTTCATTTGTAATATTATTTTTTAGAATTTTCCCTTACTTCTCCTGAAGCGTTCGTGTAAACGTCCCGCGAACGTCGACCATCAGCTGTTCTTAAGGTCAGTTGTAAACAATAGACTGCACGTCTCTCATTGCGATTTGTTAGATGAAAAAAAAAACAAATTAAGTATTTCTAAAGCTATATTTTATAACTAAAAGAACTTATTTTAAATTATTTTATATTTTTGTAGTAGTTTTCCTATAAAAACGCATTTCGGGGGGGAGTGATTTACCGGCAATTTTTAGGTTCTGATTTTTTAAATATGGTATTTGCTTGTATTTCTACATGAATGTTAATTATCAATAATAAAAAAAATGGTCCTCAAGGGGTTAAAAATGAATTACATTTTTCCTGGATTCTATTAATCATACTAAAAGTGCATCTTCAGACGTTAAGAGGATGCCCGCAAGGAAATATTGTATTTTACACGGAATATCCTTATCAGAAGGTAAAAATACTTTTTTAGATGACACGCATTATGTATTTTTTAACCGTTAGTCATTTTTTGTTATTCAAGTTGAATTCTGCCGACAGCCAGAAACAGTTTTAATAATTATGAGTTGTGTGATCTTTTAGTTTTCTACGACTTCTACATTTTAAAATTTTCTAATTAGTTTGCATTAATGCAAATTCTTGTCATTAAAAATATAGAGCAAATTCATTTCATAAAGAAATTTAGTACGATAATTTCTATAAATAATGAAAATAAAGTTATAAAATAAAAGCTGCTTTGTATAAAGAAGAAAAATGAAATTCTACTTTGTAATAAAATTTCAAACTAATATGAAGTGAATTTTATATAATGAAGTCCATAATGAATAAATAATATGTAAAACCAACTAAATAATTTTAATATTTTCTTTAATTAAAAGACAATTTTAATATAAATACAGATAATCCACTTTCAAAAATATTTTATTTTGCAACAATTATTAAACAGAAATTTTATTTAAGTGATATTTATAAATCATTTCTTTCTCTCTTTGCTCCATTGATAAATTGGAGGAGCTTCTTTAGAACCTTCTTTGACTTTCTTAAATGGAGGATCTTTTTTATTCTAAAAATAAAAAATATATATTTGATTAAAATTTAATCTATGTTAAATTAAAAATTCAATCTTATTGAAAAAGCTAATAAATTATTCTCTTTACTAAGAGAAGCTTTTAATGG